GGGAGAGGGAGAAGCAGGCTCCCCGCAGAGCAGGGAGCCCGATGCGGGACTCGAGCCCAGGACCCTGGGATCATGACCTGAGCTGAAGGCAGTCACTTAACCAACTGAGCCACCCAGGCGCCCTGGGTAATTATCCGATTCTTAAAAATGTAGGTACTTTTTCAGTTATCAAACCCCGGCTATGTGGCAGGCATAACTGCTAATCAGTAACTTGTAAGGTTAAGGTCCCAAGTGACAAAGCCTCTAAGTTGTGGAGTTGAGATCCAAACCTACTTTGAATACAGAGCTTTTTCTCTTTTCCATGGGCCAAGATGAGTTTAGAAATTCAGCTGTGCCTCATCTCTTCCCAATGAGGTAAGTAAAGCTTTTCCTACTCGTGTTGTATATGTGTGTACAATTTATTCATACCTACTCTTTTTTTTTTAAAGTGGGCTCCATGCCCACTATGGAGCCCAATGGAGGGTCCGAACTCATGACTCTGAGATCAAGACCTGAACTGAGATCAAGAGACAGTCACTTAACTGACTGAGCCACCCAGGTGCCCCAAGCTTTTCCCACTCTTAAAAGATCTTTAATAATTAAGATTTTGAAGCCTCCCTTCTAACACTATTCCAGCAATAGTAAAGAATACCTCAATTTAAACTCATTAACTCTTGCACTAGTAAAAAATACTAGTCTAATTCAAGTCAAATTTTAATGATTCCCTTCCTTGGTTGCTCATTAGAACCAACTGTGGCAATTATTTATTTTATTTTACTATTTTACTTGAGTATAAAATTGTGGCTGGGCTAAATAATGGCCCCCAAAGATATCCAGGCCCCAGTAACCAAACTATGTGAATGCTACTCCTATGGCAAAAGGGACTCTGCAAATGTGGTTAAGGATCTTGGGGACAAGGGTGCCTGGCTGGCTCAGTTGGAAGAGCACATGACTCTTGATCCCAGGGTTGTGAGTTCTAGCCCCATGTTCGGTGTAGAGATTACTTCACATTCAAAAAAAAAAAAAAAAAGATCTTGGGGAGATGAATCATTCTGGATTATCCAGGAGGGACTTAAATGTAATTACAAGTGTCCTGATAAGAGGGAGGTGGAGGGAGATTTGACCACATAGGAGAAGGCGACATGACAGAGCACAGAGATTTGAACATGTTACACTGCTGGCTTTGAAGATGGAGGAGGGGAGCATGAGCCAAAGAATGTAATTCTTGAAGCTGGAAAAAGCTAAAAAGGGATGCTCCTAGAGGCTCCAGAAGGAATGTTGCCCTACCAACATTCTGACTTTGGCTTGGAGAAACTGATTTACAATTTCTAAGTTGCAGAACTCTAAGAAAATAAATTTGTGTTGTTTTAAGCCACCAGGTTTGTGGTATTTGTTATGGGAGCAAGAGGAAATATACACAGTAAAATGTGTATAGTGCATATATATTTTTACCTATGTACACATTTATGAACCACAACCAGATTAAAATATAAAAGATTTCCAGCACTCCAGGAGATTCCCTTGTGCCTTTTCTCAGTCAATACCCTTCCCTGAGCAGGGCGCCTAGGTCACTCAGCAGGTTAAGTGTCCAACTTTGGCTCAGGTCATGATCTCAGGGTTCTGGGATCGAGCCCCACATCAGGGTCCGTGCTGAGCGGGGAGTCTGTTTCTCTCTCATTCTGTCCCTCCCCGCTTGTGCACGCTCTCTCTCAAATAAATAAATCTTAAAAAAACAAAACAAAACCCTTCCCTGAGAAGTAAACATTACTCAGACTTATCCCCACTAATTGGTTTTGCCTGTTCTTGACTTTCACATCAGTGGAGTCATACAGTATGAATTCATGGATGTGCTGGCTTCTTTTGCTCAATATAATCCCTATGAGTGTCATCTATGCCGCCTTTACCCATATTCTTCCTAATTACTGTGGAGTTTATTTTGTGGCTCTACTATAATTTATCTTTTATGAATAAGGCTACTGTAAACATTCTTATACATACTGTGATGTACACAAGAACTCATTTCTCTTGGATATATCCAAGAGTGGGAATGCTGGGTCACAGTGTAGGATTATGTTGATAGTGGTTACTGCCAAATAGTCTCCCAAAATAGTTATACCGCACACTCACCTAGGGGCACTTTTTAAAAAACACCAATGTCCAGACTTTACCATCATAGAGAATGATTCAGTAGGTCAGAGATGGGGCCTGGGCATCTCCATTTTTAAAACACTTCACTGGGGTGCCTGGGTGGCTCAGACAGTTGAGTGTCCGACTCTTGATTTCAGCTCAGGTCATGATCTCAGGTTTGTGAGATCAAGCCCCAAGCTGAGCTCTGCACTGGGCATGGAGACTGCTTAAGATTCTTTCCCTCTGCTCCCCCCGGCCCCGGCCGGACACCCACCCTTCCCTTAAAAAATAAAAACAAAAACAAAAACCACTTCACAGGTTGAAACCCTCTGCTTTACTGAGTACCTATTAGAGCAAGGTGTTAGACTAAGTATTGTACATAAAAAGCAAATGTGGTAAGGTTTCTGCTTACATGGAGCAAAGGAAGGTAAGCCAGGAGCTATTCATCATACCAAACAGAATATGCCATATAAGCTAATGGGAACCTCTATGATTTCAGAATGGATTAACTCAAGTAATGCGCAAAGAATGTAAATAGGGGAGGGATCATTAGAATGGAGTTCCTGAAAAAGGGAGAGATGTAACAAAAGAAAGGGTCTTTTTCTACCCCATCCATAAGAAGCCAACTTGAAAACCTATTCATAGGCAACCACTAATATAAGATGACAGAGTACAGTTGTATCCATTCTGATCTTGTCCCAGAAATCCACTGAAATTAACAAAACTCCCTAAAATTAGGGAAGAAATGAGAGAAGAAAAACATGCACATAGATCCACACGTCACTTACCTTTTATGTGTTTAAGCAGAAAAATGCATACAGAGGTATAAATACCTCCCTAACAAACATCTACCAGATTGGTAAATGGGATGGAAAATATTCGGAGATAAAATATTTGATTTAAAAGCTGCCAACATGAGCTCCTACCACCTCTCTTTCCATTATTTTTAAACAAATAGTGATTTTGGATAAAATTGCTCCCAATTGAAAACTTTTGCAAAGATATACCTGGAGAAGAGGTAACAAGTAATAATTACCTACATTTTCAAAGAAATTGAAGGAAACATGGATTTTAAAAAACATCAAAAAAAAAATTCAAAGAGGATAAAAATTTCAAAGAAGAGCTGAAAACACATGAGAAGCGAGAGGGCAACCACGAAGGAAAAAAAATCAATACAAAATTAAACTGTAACATGCACACATATAAACTACTTCTGGAAGGATACAAGAAAGTGGTAATACTGGTTACCTGCACGGAGAACTGAGAGGCTGAGGTAGGAGACTTATTTTTATTTGTACTACTTGAATTTGCTACTTTATATATATATCATGTTTAAAGTTAATTTATCTTTTTAAGTACTCTCTATACCCAACATGGGACTTGAATTCAGGAACCTGAGATCAAGAGCCATGTGCTCTTCTGATTTCCAGGTGCCCCTGTATTGCATGTTAAAAATAAAAAATTTTAGGGGCGCCTGGGTGGCTCAGTCGTTAAGCGTCTGCCTTCGGCTCAGGTCATGATCCCAGAGTCCTGGGATCAAGCCCCGCATCGGGCTCCCTGCTCCATGGGAAGCCTGCTTCTCCCTCTCCCACTCCCCCTGCTTGTGTTCCCTCTCTCACTGTGTCTCTCTCTGTCAAATAAATAAATAAAATCTTAATAAATAAACAAATAAATAAATAAATTGAAAAATCATTACATCTGCTTATATCCAACTCAGCATTAAATATTCATTTAATTAAAAAATTAATTCACAGGGCGCCTGGGTGGCTCAGTCGGGTAAGCGGCTGCCTTCGGCTCAGGTCATGATCCCAGAGTCCTGGGATCGAGCCCTGCATCGGGCTCCCTGCTCGGCGGGAAGCCTGCTTCTCCCTCTCCCACTCACCCTGCTTGTGTTCCCTCTCTTGCTGTGTATCTCTCTGTCATATAAATAAATAAATCTTTAAAAAAAAAAAATTAATTCACTATGAGTGAGCATACTTTAGAAGCAGAGGTAGGATATTGCTAAAAATAGCAACATTGAAAAGTAGCCTTGAGGAAAATCACCTGACATAAAATAAAAAAGCAGAAAGCTACTAGAGAGGGAAAAAAGATATATATATAGCATAACTGATGTTGCTGAAGTGAGAGGCCAAAACAAATTAAAAACTATAAAAATTAACAAGAGACACAAAGTAGGCTCTTCCAAAAAAAATTTGATATAAGATTATCAAATGAACTCAAAAATAATAAAAGAAGCTTACAGAAAAGGCAAATTCACCAAGAAAAGGAAAAACTTAGGCTGGCCCAAGATTTCACTGTATATTCAATATCAGACGACAACAAAGCCATGGCAACAGAGTTCTGACAGGGAAAATTAGGTAAGAGTCTTATACCCAGCCATGTTGTCATTCATAGTTAAAGAGCAAAATAAGTAGAAGCTCAAGTACGTATAGTATACACTTCAGTATGCATAAAAAATGTCTGGATTAAGGGGTGCCTGGGTTGTTCAGCCTGTTAAGTGTCTGCTTTTGGCTCAGGTCATGATCCTAGGGTCCTGGAATTGAACCCTGTGTCAGGCTCCCTCCTCAGCGGGGAGCCTGCTTCTCCCTCTCCCTCTGCCTCCCACTCCCCCTGCTTGTGCTCTCTCTCTCTCTCTGACAAATAAATTAATAAAATCTTAAAAAAAAGTGCCCTCTTACTGAGCAGGGAGTCTGCTTCTTCCTCTCCCCCACTGCTCATGCTCTCTCTCTCTCAAATAAATAAATTAAAAAAAAAAATGTCTGGAATAATACACCTTTGGAGAGTAGTTTCAGAGAAAAGGGAGAAATTCAGTGTTTAACTTTATATTCTTCTTAAGGGTTGGGGTTTTTAAATGATCATTTTTTAACAATTTTTATCTAAAAGAGAAAATAAATACATAGAAGTTTCAAGAAGCCTGAAGGGACACAGAAAATGATCCTAGGACCATAAATAGTCCAAGAGCCAACAAAATATAGAATCTACGTTGAAAAGCACATACCGTTTTAGAAAGTTCACTTCCAGATTCCATAATGCGCAAACACAAAGGGATAATTTCTGTTGTCAATAAAAAGTTGATTACTTCCTGCTCATCTGTTTTCACTAGGGCCCCTAAAGAAAATATGGACAAACAAAATTATTTCAGAGTCAGGGTTTTTAATTAAAATGAACTTTGTAGGGTTCATCCAGCTAGTTGTGGAACTTAAATAACAGAGAACACAAACTAGGGTTCATGACAGAGAATTAGATTCATACTGATATTAAAAAAAAAAAAAAAGAGGAAGAGAAAGCACAGGTTGACTGTACCAGCATTTCAAAGATCAGGTACCAAGTCTGGCCCATCACATAGTCAGCAGCAGGTCAGCCCTCTAAACCATTTTTCTATTACTCTTGGTAGACAACCACACAATAATATCTCCATCTATTCTCCATTTACTTTAGGTTAGAGAGAAGAATTCTGCATCAGTATAAAGGGATATTCCCAGGTAGCAAAGAAATGGGTGTCAGTTTGAATCCTACTTCACAATGGACATAAACAAACATTGCTTCTTGGTTAATTGTCACTCTCTCCAAAGTGTGCAAACATGGTAAGATGTACCCAAACAAGAAACACACACACACCCCTCAACTCTAATCCTAGTTGCACAACTAGTTTACCTAAATTTGATAGAGTTACCTTCTCTTTATAGGCTTGTTTATAAAATGAGTTGGAACAAATGATTTCTAAAATTCATCCCAATTCTATTTTCTAACCTGACACCACTGACCAGATAACAGACACAGTTCAGTGTTAATCGTCTCCATTCTGTATATAGGGAAGCAGAACTCCATTAAACAAATGATTGGTCCCCAAGCTACCCAATGTATCAACTAGCTTTTATATAAAAGGCCTAGGTTAATCAAATCTGTAACAACTAAAAGCAATCACTTCAGAAGAGAAAGGAATATCATTTAACAAGAACTGGCAATCTACAAATGCTACATCTTTAAACGTCATAGCAAACAGCATACACCATAATTTACTAATATGGCCTAAAGCAGATGTCCAATTACTATTTCATTTCGACTTTACATGTAGGTCTAAAATCCATTTGGAGTTAATTTTTATAGAGTACAAGTATAGATCGTGTTTCATTGTTTTACATCTGGATATCTAATCGTTCCAGCACCATTTATTGAAAAGACTATCTTTTCTCCACTAAATTGTCTTTGCACCTTTGTCAAAAATGAATTAACCATACCTGTATGGGTCAATTTCTGGACTCCCCAATTCTGCTCCGTTGATCTACAAGTCTAGCTTTTCTCCAATACCATGCTGTCTTGACAACTGGTTTTCCAGGATGTCTTGAAATCAGGTAGTGTACATCTTCCACCTTTGTCCTTCTTTTTAAAAACTGGATATTCTAGGGGTGCCAGGGTGGCTCAGTTGGTTGAATGACTGACTCTTGGTTTCAGCTCAGGTCATGATCTCAGGGTCCTGAGATCAAGCCCCATGTTGGGCTCTGCTTCCCCTCTTCCTCTGCCCCATCCCCAGGCTCACACACCCTCTCTAAAATAAATAAATAAAACTTTAAAACAAAAAACCCTGAATATTCTAGTTCATTTGCCTTTCCATATAAATTTTAGAAACAGCTTGTCAGTTTCTATATTAAAAAAAAAATCCTGCTGGGATTTTGTTGGCATTGTTCTAAATCTATCTATCTATCTACCTGTAGGTATATATGTATATATGTATATATATATGTTTGGGGGAGAACTGACATCTCAACAATATCGAATCATTGATATACCAATTAATGAACATGGTATATCTCCACTTATTTAGGTCTTCTTTGATTTCTTTCATCATTGCTTTGTAGTTTTTTAGCTACAGATCTTGCACATCTTTTTTAAGACTTACATCATGTTTTGGTGCTATTATAAATGTAGGTTTTTAAATTTTCAATTTCTGTTTTAGCTAGCACATAAAATAGACAATCTAATTTTTTTCTAATTTGTATGCCCTTTATTTTTTTCTCTTGCCTTACTGCAACAGGTAGGATTTCCAGGATGATACTGAATAGGAGTGGTGAGAATATTTATTTTTTATTATATATATATATCATATATATAATATATATTATCTTTGCCTTATTCTCAATCTTAGGGGGATAAAGTGTGGTTTTTCACATTAACTATGATCTTAACTGTAGGACTTATTTTTTAAAACTTTATCGGGTTGAGAAAGTTCCATTTCTACTTTGCTGGAGTTTTTATCATAAATGGATGAATACTATCAAAAGTTTTTTTTTTAAGCTAAAGAAATGGGCATATGATGTTTCTTCTTTAGTCCGTTGATACATATTGACTGATTATTTTTTTTAAGATTTTATTTTTAAGTAATCTCTACACCCAATGTGGGGCTTGAACTCACAACCCTGAGAACAAGAGTTGCATACTTTACCAAATGAGTCAATCAGGCACCCCTGTATTTTTTTTTTTAAAGATTTTATTTATTTGACAGAGAGAGACAGTGAGAGAGAGAACACAAGTAGGGGGAGTGGGAGAGGGAGAAGCAAGCTTCCCACTGAGCAGAGAGCCTGATGTGCAGGCTCAAGATCCTAGGACCCTGGGATCATGACCTGAGCCAAAGGCAGAGGCTTAATGACTGAGCTACCCAGGTGCCCCAGGCACCCCTGTTTGACTGACTTTTGAAAGTTAAACCATCATGCAATCCTGGGATAAACCCACCTGGTCATGATGATCCTTTTCATATATTGTTGGTCTTGATTTGTTAACATTTTGTTGAGAATTTCTACATCTATGTTCTTGAGGGATACTGGCCTATAGTTTTCTTTTTTTTTTTTTTAAAGATTTTATTTATTTATTTATTTGGGAGAAAGAGAGAGAGACAGAGAAACAGCATGAGAGGGGAGAGGGTCAGAAGGAGAAGCAGGCTCCCCGCTGAGCCGGGAGCCCGATGTGGGACTCGATCCCAGGACTCCGGGATCATGACCTGAGCCGAAGGCAGTTGCTTAACCAACTGAGCCACCCAGGCGCCCTGGCCTATAGTTTTCTTATAATGTTTTTTTTCTGGTTTTATTATCAGAGTAATTAATGCTGGCCTCACCAAGAGTTTAGAAGCCTCTATGTTCTGGAAAAGTTTTGTAGAATTGGTATTATTTCTTCTTTAAATTTTTGGTAGACTTTATCAGTGAAATCACTTGGGCCCAGAGTTTTCTATGGTGGAAGGTTTTCAACTACAAAAACAATTTAATAGACATAAGACTATTCAGATTATCTATTTTCTCGAGTACGGTCCGGCAGAATGAAACTTTCATAAAATTTGTCCATTCACCCAAGTCATCAAATTTATGGGCATAGAGTTATTAGCGGTAGTCATTATTCTTTTAATGTCTGTACAGTCTGTTATAACATACACCCTTACATTCCTGGAACTTGTAATTTGTGTTTTCTCTTTTTTTCCCAGTCTATCTGGTTAGAGGTTTATTAATTCCATTGAATTTTTTTCAGTAAAAAATTGGGGATGGGTGAATGGGTAAAGGTGGTCAGAAAGTATAAACCTTCTGTTATAAATAAGTCCTGCAGATGTAATGTACAGTAACTACAGTAACAATATTGTATTGTATATTTGAAAGTTGTTAAGATGATAAATCTTAAAGGTTCTCATCACAAGAAAAAAAAATTTTATAACTGTGTGGTGATGGATTTTTAAGATTTTATTTTTAAGTAATCTCTACACCCAATGTGGGACTTGAACTCACATCCCCAAGATCAGGAGTCCCATGCTCCACCAACTGAGCCAGCGCATGTGTGGTGATGGATGTTAACTTAATGTAGTCATCATTCTCCAATATATACATATATCAAATCATTATGCTGTACATTTAAAACTAATACAATGTTACATGTCAATTATATCTCAAAAAAAGGTCAGCTTTTGGTTTCATTGATTTTACCTCCTATTTTTCTGTTCTCATTTTCAATGATGTCTATCCGTTATTATTTCCTTCCTTCTGTTTAATTTGATTTGCTCCTTTTCCTAGTTTTCTTAAAGTGGAAAGCTTTGAAACTGATGACTTCTCTTCCTTTCTAGTATTAGCATTTTATGCTATAATTTTCCCTCTAAGCCCTGCTTTAGCTGCATCCTATAAGTTTTAATGTTTTTATTTTATTCATTTTCAAGTATTTTCTAATTTCTTATGTATCATTTCATTTATATTCAAACCTGTCTGATAACCTTTGAACTGTAAGCAAAAAGTCTAGGCCCAAATATTTACCTTCTGCTTGTACTCTCAATTGACTTGGAGAAATTAACTTTTGGAAAACATATGCAAGGATAGACAATGGCTTAACACTGTCCCAATATCTTTTTTATCCCCCTACAGTTAACTTTATCCTAACATCTCCTAATGATCATCTAACTGTCGTGGTCAAAAAACCAGCAGAAGTAGGATGATTTAAATCAGAATTAAGGACAGAAGTGTTTTCTTTTGGCTGGTACCTTGTTCATGTTTTAAATCCTATATAAGAAATCTTCAGAGCTTAAAAACAGCAATATATTGGGGAAAAATGTTTCTAAATAGAGTATTATTTGGAGCAGATGTAAAAAAAACGGTAACATTCATTTGGAGTATAGGAGATAGGAGCTACTCCTTAAATGTACAATAAAATGTCTCAGAAGTACTAAACTTTTAAACTGATAAGAACAGATACTACACTTGATCTTAGCCAAAAGGCCGAGAGAGGCGATAGAAGTACTAAACTTTTATTTTATTTTTTAATTTTTTAATAAAGGTTTTTTATTTATTTGACAGAAAGAAAGACAGCCAGAGAGGGAACACAAGCAGGGGGAGTGGGAGAGGGAGAAGCAGGCTTCCCACCGAGCAGGGAGCCTGATGCGGGGCTCGATCCCAGGACCCTGGGATCATGACCTGAGCCAAAGGCAGACGCTTA